TCATTTTCTGCAAGCAAGCTTGTTATTTGTATAATACGGGTTGTTGATGAGTCTCCAATCCTGATGCCACATTCTTTTTCTATATAGTCCAACTTCTCAAATTATTTGCTTAGCATACAAATTGAATAGGTATGGAGAAAGAATACAGCCTTTCCTAATTTTAAACCAAGCAGTGTTCACCTGTTCTGTTCACACAAAGGAACACTGTAGCTTGGGTAAATGTTTGCAAAGCAAATTGCTTTTCCACGCAACAGTTTACACCTATTTTGTTTCATGGTATTGGTTGCAGCTTCCTCAGTGTAGCAACATTCTTCCCTCTTCCTCCCTATGTTACCTGTTTCTGTCCATCCCTCTTTCCTGTTCCATTCTATCTTCTGAGCTTTGGTTCTGGCAAATGCTGCCATTTTGGTCTCATACGTTTGATTGTTCTGAGGCCCATATTCGTCCTTGTGTTATTACCCTCATTATGGACCAAGCAATCATTTGGTTGAAAGGTCCTCTCAAGGGTGGGTTCTGTTCCAGACCTGACAGGTATCTAAAGACCATGGTCTCAGGGTTCCACCAGTATCTGTCCAACTAGTAATGTAAGCCTGTACTGTTTCTGATTTTAAATTTTGTTCCACATTTTCCCCCTTTTCTGACCAAGATCTTCTAGTGATGTTGCTGTTATATACCTTCAAGTCCGAACTGACTCCAGCAGGTTTTCAGAGGCAGTAAAATCACATGGGAATAGATTGCCCATCTTTCTCCTGAGGAGCAGCTGGTGAATTAGAACTGTGTGCCTTTGAGTTGGCAGCACAACTCTTAACCGCTAAGCCACCAGAGCTCCCTTCTGTTGTGATACTGTTTGTTGTTATTAGGTGCTGTCATGTTGAGTATGATGCATAGCAACCTGATGAACAACAGATATGAATCCTGTCCTATCCCGTGCCATCCTCAGAAACTCTGACACACTTGAGCCCATTGCTGCAGTCACTGTGTCAATTCATCTGGTTGAGGGTCTTCCTTTCTTTCTCGGACCCTCACCTTTCCAAGCATGGTGTTCCTCTCCAAGGAATAGCCTCTCTTAACAACATATCCAAAGTATGTGAGAAGAAGCTTTGTAAAAATCTATGAGGATTAGTGGTTCATAAAAGTAGTAACTGGAAGACCCTCTGGTGAAGCTGCTCTACGATCCTGAAGACACGTGGTTTGAATCCACCAGATGGTCCACTGGAGAAGGAGGGGAAATCTCCTCCTTTGCCTGTTGTATCTGATTGGACAGTACACAACAAGGGAAAACAAACAAATAAACAAACAAATAAAAATAGGTTGAAAGTTGTAACTGGGTACTGTCTAGTTGTTCTGGCCTCAGAGTACTAGGGACTGTGAAATCATGGTCCATTAATCCTCTGAATTAATTGTTTCTGAGTCTTCGATTTCCTTCACTCTTTGCTCTCACTGGAGAGAAGCCAAAAGCTGCATCTTAGCTGGCCGCTTGATAACTTTAGAGGCCCAAGCTGATACTCACCAAAGTAAGAGTGTCTTTATGGACTGTGCTATGCCAGTTGACCTAGACGTCCCCATGACTGTGGCCTAAGGACCCAAGGTCATTCTCTCAAACTATTTGGTTATGGCTGAAACATCTCCAGAACTTTGCCCTTGCCTACTGTGTACTATCCTTGAACATACACAGCATGCGTAAATACATATGTAGAAATGGCTCTGTCAAACTGCACACCTTCATCATCATTTTTTCCCCACATCTGTTCAGCTTACATGTCATGGACCTGTTTTAGACGGGCCAATACTACTACTGGGTTGTTGTTTTTCTTTACAGTGAGAAATCAACATTTTACACTCTATTTATTCTTTTAAAACATCAAGTATTTGCTGTTTATGAAATTTCTAGATATAGTTTGGAAATATCCAAATGTATATTTGGGGTTTTTTTCAAATAAGTAAATTTTAAATACTGTATACTCATTCAGTGAGGCCATTACTACTCAGAGATTTGTTTTTTTAAAATATTTTTTATTTTATTTTATTATTTTTGTGTGCATGTACCATCAAATCAGATCTGACTGGTACAGGAGGAGATTGCCCCACCTTCCCTAGCAGAGCATCTGGTGGATTCGAACCGTGCACCTCTGGGATTGTAGTTGCAGCTTCTTGCCACTAGGCCACCAGAGCTCCCCTTCAGAGATTTATTTTTAATTTCCAGAACTGCTATTGGAAGCTTAAAAAAAAAAAAAGTATCCCAAATACTCTAAAAAAATGCACACAGAAGCAATGATTTTGTAAATTACTACCTAACTTGGGAGGGACTGGAGAGCATTATGCTAAGCAAACCAACTCGGTCACATAAGGACAAATAACGTATAAGACCATTATTGTAGAACAAGGATCCAAGATGGTAAGCGGGAGTAGATGGGTGAGGATGGGGAGGGAGGAGCTTAATCAGAGGGTCGCACAATTTGATGGGTGGTGGGAGGGGTATGTAAACGAAAGGGGAAATATCTGGTGTGAAAAACAATGTATACAAATTTTGTAAGTAAACCAGTTTAAAATAAAAATTTTATTTACAAAAAAATGCTATGTCTTTGCCCTTTATGGTGAGTAGGACTTTGAAAATAGTCTTCTGGAGCTCTGCTTGGCAAATTTAGTTCAAATTTGGTAATAAAGGCTTTCGTTAAGAACAAGGTGGTCAGAAAGTGGTGAGACCTTGATTTAAGTGCCTCCTTCTGCTGGAATGTCTGTAAGAAGGCACAAGAGAGGCAAGATGGTTAGATCTTGCTGTTCAAGGAATGTGTAACTTATGTTGTTGTTGTTTGCCTTCAAGTCAAGCATGACTCTTATTGCAACCATATAAACAAAAGGCCTGAAGCCCCTCTACAACTATCAACATTTATCAAAGTTCATAGAGTTTCTGCAGGCATGTTATTTAGGAAGTGGTTGCCACTTGTGCTTCCAAGAGTAACTTATAGTTAACAATTACTTAGTGGTCAAGTTGTATGTTTCCTGTCACATGAAAAAGGCATTATGTTTAAGTGAGTAATGTTGCTGTTAACACTTAGAATATGATGAGAACTTTCATGTGTTGTTGGGTCCCATTTCTTCCTTCCACTGTGTGGCTACTCACTCATTGCCATAGAGTCAGAACAAACTCATGACCCTCCAGTGGTTTTCACAGACTGTAAATCCTACAGAAGGAGATTACTTCTCTTTATCCCAAGGATCTGCTGGTAGATTCAGACTGTCAGAGGCACCACTTTTGGGTTATCATTACAGCACCCTAAGGACCCACCACATACATTTCTGTAGGTGCTGCCTGTGTTATCCAGGTAATACTGATCCTCACCACTGTTGTTATGTGTCGTTGAGTCATTTGCGACTCATAGCGACCCTATGTACAACAGTCCTAAACTCTGCTCTGTCCTGTGCCAGTCTCACTGTCTCCGATACACCCAGCCCAATTACCCCAGTCACTGAATCAATCCACCTCATAGAGGGCCTTCCCCTCCTGCGCTGTCCCTCCACCCTCCCAATCATGATGTCCCTCTCCAAGGACTGGTCCCTCCTTGCAACATGTCCAAAGTATGTCAGACGAAACCTCGGAATCCTTGCCTCCAAGGAGCAGCCTGGTTTAACCCTCTACAGGCTGAATCTGTTTGTTTTCTTGGCAGTCCATGGTTGTTGTTGTTGTTAAGTACCGTCGAGTTGTTTGCGACTCATAGCGACCCTATGTACAACAGTCCTAAACTTTGCTCTGTCCTGTGCCAGTCTCACTGTCTCTGATACACCCATCCCGATTACCCCAGTCACTGAATCAATCCATCTCATAGAGGGTCTTCCCCTCCTGCGCTGTCCCTCCACCCTCCCAAGCATCATGGTACCCTCAATAATCTTCTCCAACACCAAAGCTCAAAGACATCAATTCTGCTTCTATCCTCCCTAGTCATTATCTAACTCTCCGACGCATAACAAGTAATTGCAAAGACCATAGCCTGTATCAGATGCACCTTAGTCTCCAGAGAGACACCTTTGCTCTTCAGTACTTTGGAGAGGTCCCTAACAGCAGACTTTCCCATCACAATGCATCTTTTAATTTCCTGGCTGCTGGTGCCAAGATTGTTGACTGTGGAGCCAAGCAGACTAAAGCTCCTCTTAAATGCTAACTCAGTCCTACAAGGATAAATATTGTATAAAAACATTATTGTAGAATGAGTATTAGGATCCAGGAGGGGTGGGAGAGGCTGGAAGCAGAGGGATGTGCATGTGTAGGGAGAGGGGGTATTAATCATTGGGTTGTACTATCTGATAGGTGGAGGGGGTGAGGGAAATTGAAAGAATTTGTTCAAATTTGTATTTGAGTTTTGTAAATAAACTAGTAGAAAAAAAAGAATGCTCACACAGGGAAAGTATTATTTCCTCTTATATAAAATAACTCAGTATCGACAAGTGCAAACAGATCTACATTTATTTAAAGTTTCTAAGAATGGACTGTGGCTTAGTGGTAAGGAATTGTGCTATCAACACAAAGTTACTTGGTTCAAATCCACCAGCTGCTCCATGGGAGAATGGCAGGCAATCTCCTCCTTTGTGATCTACTGTCTCTGAAAACCCATTGTTGTTGTACAATAGTGTACCATCGAGTCAGAACTGACTCATAGCTGACCGTCCAGTGGGTTTTCAGAGGCAGTTCATCATATGGAAGGAGATCCCACATGGCTGGTGGTCTCAAACCACTTGCCTTTGATTGCTCTGCAGCTTCTTGCCACTAGGCCACCAGAGCTCCCTGAAAACCCACTAGAGGGTCAGCGATGGCAACAAAGGGTGGACAGAAGGGAAGGGGCAACTCATTACCCAGGGGCCACTGAGCTTCTGATGAGGATGATGAACAAAATGTGGAAACAGATGGTGGGGACAGTGGTACATGGTGGTGAACACAGTTCACCTCGCTCTACCACAATGAGACAGGAAAGAATGATTGCTCACCTGTGACCCTGGTTCTCTTCCAGAGCATAGGAAACTTGGCAACATGACTGTGACCGTGAAAAAGGCCGTGCCCTCGCCCGAGGCCGTGCAGATCCTCTACCAGCGAATGAGATATGAGTACGAGTTCTACCACTACGTCCGGGAGCAGTTCCACCTGCTGAAGCGCAAATTTGGACTCAAGTCCCATGTCAGCAAGCCCCTCCTGAGACCCCACTTCTTTATTCCCACCCCCCTGGAGACCGAGGAGCCAATTGATGATGAGGAACAAGACGACGAGAAGTGGTTAGAAGATATTTATAAGAGGTGATGCAGCACTGGTGGCCTCCCATGGCACGAGCTCCCTTTCCAGAAAGTTTTATTTGTCTGTCTAGAGGGAAGGGGAGGGAAATCCTTAAGAGACTAAATTAATGCTCCGCTGCATTAACAAGAACAAAAACATTCCCACGTGTTGGGGTCGTTGGGAGATGCCCGGTTTTGCGGGTTTGGTTTGTTTCATTTTATTCTCTGTGTGTGTCTTGGCTGCTTGGCCCTTTCCCAGGCACTCTAGTTGGCTCCATCACCAGACATCTTGTCCTAAAATCACTTTTCCCCTCAGCAAAATGGGAACAAGGGAGGAGAATCTACTCTGTAGCCCAATAACTTATCATTTGTACAATAACTTGTAAAACATCACCTCAGTCGTGGGAGACATCCAGATTTGTACATTTCAGTAGATATACAAAACCACTTTAGAGACCAGGGCATCTAATCTAGAAGAATCTAAGAGGAGAAAGTAAGCCAGCCAAATGCAGACATAGGAAAAAAGGATGCCCTTGAACGAGTGGGTTCAACTCACGGTGGTGGATAGAATTCTGGCACTGGGCCATCACAAGTGCAATGCCCTTATTTCTGAAAGAACAAGACACTTGTGCCACCACCACAACAGTTCAGAGCCTTGAACCCCTTTACAAGGTCAAAGTGCACGACAAGCTGCTGTGAGGCATTCCATTTCCAAGTCCCATCCTCACAGATTGCCAAGGAGCCAGGCTGGGGGAAGGACATGCACCCATGGAGGCGTGTAGGTAAGGCGGGTAAAATCTGGAAGTGGTGCAGCATCTAGAAAGGCACTGGGTCTTGTCCTTTCCAGCCAGAGTGAAACGTCTGCCTCCCTGGTATTGCTCTAGATGGAACCAGTTTAGTTCCAGCATATGATATGTCTGGCAGAAGTTCTACCACAGAAAATGCATGATCGATTAGTTACCCACCTGAACCAAGTTGGGTGCCACTTGGTACCCTTCACCTTCTTGTCCCTTAAAAAACGCCTGATTTTGGTAAGATGGGGTACTGAGTTTTGGGCTTTGCTTATGGACCCTAACCTGAGCACCTTTTCTAGGGACACCAGGAAAAAATGTAGCAAGAACTTCTTCATAAGAGACTGCTTGGCCAGGTTTTGGAGTAGGTGACTGACCCCAGTGTGATCTGAGTAGATATTGAGCAGTTTCACTGCCCCCAAGTATCTCTTCTCCCCTCCTCCCACTCCCATCAGTGGCTGCCTGTCAATGATGCCTTGGTCCAGCCATTAGAAAGCTATCCTTTTGGGTTGTCAGGTGTTTTCAGTTTTTAAAAGTTCAAGGGCCAGCACATTCACCCTCTCCCTGGGTTGATAAAGTACAGCTAGCCGAGAAACGGGGGTGTAGATGCTGGAAGCAGAAGATGCAACCAAGAAGGGCACATGTGTTTTTTTGCTACTATATGCCTTTCCCTCCTCCAGCTAGCCTTCCAAGTGCACTAGCAGATATGAGCTGGGACTATTCCATGGTGATAATAACTCTGATTTGACACAAGCTACACATTCTCTACTTTTCAGAGACCAACAAGCCTCTCTAGAATTGTTTCCCTCCCTCGCTACCATTGGATGGTAGCCAAGACAGAAAGGAAGCCCTTTGGAACCTGTCGAGTGCGCACTAAAGCGGCTCTATCATGAGCAGTGTTGAGAAGGCACCACGCCCCAGGAGTCCAGTAGATACTGGAACCATCAGAGGCCAGCACTAGGCCCCATGTGGCCCTTCTCTCTGCCCTCCAAGAGTCGAGACAGAGAATTGATAAGAGAAATGTCCTTAGAAGAGGAAAGAGCCTTTGTCCTCTTCTGAGAGCCCAGGGCCTCTGATATGAAGGCATCCTTCCGAGAGCAGCCTGGGAACACAGCGATCATGTCCCAAACAAGAGCTACATTGTGAGTTCTTATGAAACGACATCTAAAGAGTAATGGTTCATTTAAATGCTGTGCAAACTCAGAAAAAGAAAGTGACGTTTCACCCTAATGAGGAGGAAAGGTTACATTTTCTCCTGCTGTTGGAATATTAGGACTGTTGGCCTTTAGGGGGAGAAAATGCATCTTCTTTTTCCAGGTTCACAGGGGCACTTCTCCCTACCTGTTTAAAGACGCAGACACCCAGCAGCGATCTTCCTGCAATGTAACAACAAAAGATGTGGAAGGACCAACTTGCAAAGCCCTGGTGTTATTTTGGCCCAGCCAACAGCCCCCAGATATCACCCCTCCTCCCCCAAAGCAGAGGCACTTCATCAGTTTATTTGAAGCACGTGACAAAGTTTCTTTGGCTCTGTGCCCAACACAGTTTGTAATTCATGAATGATAGTGTACATTTTACATAGTTTAATTTAAAAAGACATTATAAGCTGGTTAATCTTTGACTGCCTTATTTATTATAACCTTTCAGCACATTCCAATGTTTTAGTTACTCAGGAAGGAGTTAATTAAGATGATTTTATTTGGGTCTGATGGGTGTTTTTTAAAAGGAAAACTATTATTATGAACCATCAACCCACTTTCCTTGAGTGCCGTGAAAGGGCTTGTAATTTTTTTTTTCCTTTTCAAAGAAGAGAGGTGTTCGGGGGTGGGAAACAGTATTTGACATGGGTGGAAATTAAAGAATATATTTGGGACTGAAACATTAGCTTAGCTAAAACAAAAGCAATCTGTGTTTGAGATGAAGTGTTCCTTAACTTATTACCCACGTAAATAAATGAATATAAATTAATTGAGCTTTCCCTCCATTTTGTTAAAACAAGTTGAATGTTTTCTCCATTCTATTGATAGCTGGAAATAAAAGTATTCACAGCATCTTTCAATCTCCTTCAGTGATCAAGCCTCTTTTATTTTATCAAAATGTGATTTTGAAATTGTGTATTTTTTTTAAAAAAGTTATTCACTTTTATTCTGGATATCATATGGCATGAAAAAAGGTGGCTAAGAAGAACATTAACTTCTCAGTCAGTTATCCAGGTCTGTGTATAAGATAAGATACCACACACAGGCCTTACTGCTATCTCCACTAGCTAGTCTGATGTCAGGGAGCTCTGGTGGTCTAGTGGGTCAAGAGTTGGGCCGCCAATCCAGAGGTACTCCGTCTGAATCCAGTAGCTCAGGGAAAGATGGACAATCTCCTCCTGTGCAAATTACAGGCTCTGAAAATCCACCGAAGCCTCCACTATGCATCGTTTCCAACTCAGCAGCACATTACAGCAGAAGCAATTTGGTGTCAGAGGTCTGAATTGTCAATCTCCAATATCAGTTATCTATGAGTTACAGATGTTAGCTGTATCCTAGCATGTTGCTAGGAGAGGTTATTCATTGGAGAGATACATCATGCTTGGGAAGCTGAGGGGACAGTGAAGGAGAAAAAGATCCCTGACCAGGTGGGTTGACACAGTGACTGCAGCAATGGGCTTGAGTGTGTCAGAGATTGAGAGGGTGGCCCAGGATTAGATAGCGGTCAGATCTGCGGTGCAGAGGGTTGCTATGAGTCATACTCAACGGCACCTAACAATGACATGAGTGATAGTATGGGAGAAGATTCTTGAAAATTCCATGGACTTCCAGAAGAACAAATAAATTTGTCTTGGAAGAAATACAACCAGAGGGCTCCTTAGAAGTAAGGATGGGCCATACAGAATACATGCTGGCAAAACAGTGCCAATTATGAAAGGAGGAGAGACAAGAATGGAGGAAGGAGAAGTGTATGCTATTGAAACCTTTGGTAGTACAGGAAAAGGTGTGGTCCATGACAATATGGAATGCTTCCACTACATGAAAAATTTTTATATTGGACCAAAGATCAAAACAATTGAAACAATTAAAACTTTGGTACCCTTGCCTTCTGCCGCAGAAGGTCAGATCACTTGGGAGAAAGTAAATACTTGATGGCTCTGAAGAATCTGTGTGACTTGAGCATTATAGACCCATATCCACCATTATGTGACATTAAAGGATCATACACAGCACAATTTCAACATACCATACTGTGTCCAACATGTAAAGAAGTCATCCGCAGAGGAGATGATTATTAAACTTAGTTCAAAAGGAAAAACAAAGTAGTAAGGATGGTGAGACTGGGACTCACTGTCAGGAGGGACCAGACCCTGGGGTGGGACATCAAAGCTTGGTAAAGGAGAGGGTCCATGGAACAGATGGAGGACTTAAATGAAGTGGATTGATACAGGGGTTGCAACAATGATCTCAGATGTAGCAACAAATATGAGGATGGTGCGGGGCTGGGCACTGTTTTGTTCCCTTGGAGACGAAATCTAAGAGAATTAGCTCAGTGGCACCTGAGAGCAACAGCATCCCAGCTGTCTGCAGTAACACAGAAAAGGAAGACTATGCCTCATCTTGAGTGTCTGCCCTGATCCCTTTCTTAAACACATACAGCCTCAAAATCTGGAGAGTGCTGGCCTTCTCAGTGCATTTCAGCCAGAAATCGCTCCCTCCCTGAGGAATTTCACTGCTGCGTTCAGATGGAACATGAGAGACGCCGTGTATTTACAAGCAACCATCATTCTTTCTAGATAGTTGACACTAAATTCCAACTATATATGGCTTTTGTACAAATAGAATAATAAAATTTTGGTACCAAATGAAAGAAAAATCCATTGAGACCCCATATTTGAAGTAATAATCTCAAAAGCCTTATACAGCAAGTGATGAGCTGTGAGCTTACTTTCTTGTCGAGCTTGTTCTGTGCCCTGGCAAAACGGTCCTTGGCTGGAAGTGAATGGTCAGGGAAAGGGCCCTTTTTAAAAGCACCACATATGGAGTTGCTTGCTGGAGTTTGAAGTTCTTTATAAATGTGTTACCACCTGTGGAACTTTCCAAGGAGCTATTTGACATTTAAAGGAATTTTGGAGATAATAGTCTTTTTATTTATTTATTTGCGATTTAAGTGAAAAATCTGTGACACAAATTCTTTTCCCAGTTAACCATTCATACACATTTTTGTGTTATGCTATTACTTACAATACCCACAATGG